AATAAAAACAGTTTGTTTAAATTACCACTATTTTTGTTTAAACACTGTTCTCCAAAAAGACAAGTTCTAAAGCAGACTCAAAGTGATGCAGTAGGATACGGTCAGTGTGAACACAGAATGAGGGTACACACAAAAGATTTAACAGTGCAGTTAAAGTGACAGTAGCATAAGGTGCCGGTGGTAAGGGCAGCTGTCAGTGATGGGTTATAAAGTGCTAATCAAATGATGACAAAGATGGCACCTCGTACGGTCGACATGGCTCTTTGCTGCTCTCTTTCTTTTGTTTTTACTTTTTAACTGCGCATCTGGCTGTTCCTACACCCGTGAGGAACTTATGAACATCCGACCCACCGTTCCCATGGACCTATTGCCTGTTTTCTTGGCATCTGCGGCTGATTTAGTTCATGTTCTAGCCAAAAAAGTGTGGGCCCGTAAAAGGGGAAAGCGCGGAGGCCTGCTCGTGCGTCTTAGGAGGAGAGGAGCGCGCACGGCTCTCCCTGGCATTTTTCTCTCCAACGTACGCTCACTGGGCAATAAGATGGACGAACTCAGCCTGCTCATGAGAAGAAACATGGACTTCGCCACATCCTGTGTCCTCTGCTTCACTGAGACCTGGCTAAATGAGCGGATCCCGGACTGCGCTCTGGAGCTGCAGGGCTTTGGGCTGTTCCGCGCGGATCGCCATTGTGCGCTCTCAGGGAAGAGCAGAGGCGGAGGGCTGTGTTTCTACGTCAATACAAACTGGTGTAACGATGTGACAGTGATCTCCAAGCACTGCTCTCCTGCTCTGGAATATCTTTTCATTCATTGTAAACCATATTACTCCCCGCGCGAAATTGTTTCATTCATTCTTGCCTCTGTTTACATACCGCCATGCGCGGACGCGCGCGAGGCTTAGCGCGCACTTGCAGAGCAAGTACTGTGTATGGAACGCTTATACCCGGACTCTCTGATTATTATCCTGGGGGATTTTAATAAGGGAAACTTGAGCCAGGAATTACCCAAATACAGACAGTTTATCAAATGCCCGACCAGAGAGGAGAACACTCTGGATCACTGCTATACCACCGTGCGCGGAGCTTTTCGCGCTGTTCCCAAAGCAGCCCTCGGCTTCTCAGATCACTCCATGATACATCTGGTTCCTGCTTACAGACAGAGACTAAAGCTCTCGAAACCTGCAGTGAGGAGCTCCAAAGTGTGGTCTGATGAAGCTGTGGAAGAGCTGCGCGCATGCATGGAATCTACAGACTGGGACCTTTTCAGAGCTGCCACAGATAGTTTGGATGAATATACGGACACTGTGACGTCATACATTCACTTCTGTGAGGATAGCATCATTCCAACAAGGACCAGGGTCATCTATAACAACGACAAACCCTGGTTCACTGCTAAACTCCGGCAGCTCAGGAAAGCAAAGGAGTCTGCTTTCAGAGAGGGGGACCGCAGCGGCTACAAAGCAGCTAAATATCAGTTCAGGAAAGAACTGAAAGCAGCCAAGTCCCGGCACAGAGAACGACTACAGGAGCAGTTTGGTAACAACGATACTGCTTCTGTCTGGAGGGGCCTACGGGAGATCACCAACTACAAACCCAAAGCCCCCCCCCTGTGCTGACGACCACAAGCTAGCTGACGATCTGAACTTATTTTTCAGTCGCTTTGATGCTGCCCCTGACACCTCTCCCTCCCCCACCCCCCACTACTCTAACGACCCACCCATCAGCCCTGCCCCCAGCCTAACAATAGCCGCTAAAGAGATTAAACAACTCTTCCTGAGGCTGCACCCCCGCAAAGCTCCTGGCCCGGACCACGTGTCTCCGGCCACTCTGAGACACTGTGCCAGTGAACTTACTCCTGTGTTCACTGACATTTTCAACACCTCTCTGCAGTCCTGCCATGTCCCGGCCTGCTTCAAATCCTCCATCATTGTCCCCGTCCCGAAGAAGCCCAGGATCACAGGACTCAATGACTACAGACCTGTAGCACTTACGTCTGTCGTCATGAAGTCATTTGAACGCCTGGTTCTCTCCCATCTCAAGTCCCTCACCTCCCCCCTCCTGGACCCCCTGCAGTTCGCCTACAGAGCCAACAGATCTGTAGACGACGCCATTAACCTAGCCCTCCACCACATCCTACAGCACCTGGACTCCCCGGGGACCTACGCCAGGGTCCTGTTCGTGGACTTCAGCTCTGCCTTCAACACAATCCTGCCATCCCTGCTCCAGGACAAGCTCTCCCAGCTCAACGTGCCCGATTCCACCTGCAGGTGGATCACTGACTTCCTGACGGACAGGAAGCAGCGAGTGCGTCTGGGGAAGAATGTCTCGGACTCTCGGATTATAAATACAGGAGCCCCACAGGGCTGTGTTCTTTCTCCCCTGCTCTTCTCCCTGTACATCAACCACTGCACCTCCAGCCACGACTCTGTGAAGCTGATCAAGTTCGCGGACGACACCAACCTCATTGGACTCATCTCCAACAACGATGAGTCCGCCTACAGGAGGGAGGTGGACCGGCTGGTGTCCTGGTGTCTCCTACAGGAGGGAGGTGGACCGGCTGGTGTCCTGGTGCAGTGGTAACAACCTGGAGCTGAACGCCCAGAAGACAGTGGAGATGATTGTGGACTTCAGGAAGAGCACTGTCCCCCCGCCCCCACCTTCCGTCATGGACTCCCCCATCACCTCTGTGGAGTCCTTCCGTTTCCTGGGCACCACCATCACCCAGGACCTCAAGTGGGAGCCGACCATCAGCTCCCTCATCAAGAAGGCCCAGCAGAGGATGTACTTCCTGCGGCAGCTCAGGAAAGCCAAGCTGCCTGCACAGATGTTGGTGCAGTTCTACACGGCCATCATCGAGTCCATCCTCACCTCCTCCGTCACCTCCTCCATCACCTTGTGGTTCGCTGGAGCCACAGTCAGGGACAAACCGAGACTACAGCGCATTGTGCGCTCTGCAGAGGAAGTGATCGGCCGCAGCCTTCCATCGCTGCAGGACCTGTACGTCGCCCGAGCTCGAGGCCGGGCTGGTCGTATCACAGCCGACCCCTCTCACCCTGCACATGGACTATTCCAACCACTCCCCTCAGGCAGGAGGCTGCGGTCCATCAGGACTAGAACCTCCCGCCACAAGAACAGTTTCTTCCCCTCTGCTGTTGGACTCTTGAACACTTCTTAACCTGTCCCCCCGCCCTTTATAAAGTCACTTTACTGCCCATCATACGTCACTTTACTTCACTGTACTGCTGTCACCTTACATTGTGTGCACCATGTGCACTTGTATATTGTAAATAGTAACTGTAACTCTATTTTAAATTTAAATTTATTCTTTAGAAGTGTTTTTTGTCTTTTTGACTGTTGCACTGAGCCAAAGCAATTTCCTAGTCTGTGACCTCCTGTTACTTATGTGGCAATAAAAATGATTCTGATTCTGATTCTAATGAGTCCGACAGCAGAGACACCTACTTGAGGAGGTTCTGCTGGTTCCTGCTGCTGACGGAGGCCGAACTCTTCTTCACCGTTTTCTTTGTTACGTCTTTTTTGCTCCCGGGAAAACTGAGCCCCACTTTATGAGCCTGAAACAGAACAGAAACACTAGTGTAGCTCCTGACGACTGCTCTACAGAGACACTAGCTCCTGACGACTGCTCTACAGAGACACTAGCTCCTGACGACTGCTCTACAGAGACACTAGCTCCTGACGACTGCTCTACAGAGACACTAGCTCCTGACGACTGCTCTACAGAGACACTAGCTCCTGACGACGGCTCTACAGAGACACTAGCTCCTGACGACGGCTCTACAGAGACACTAGCTCCTGACGACGGCTCTACAGAGACACTAGCTCCTGACGACGGCTCTACAGAGACACTAGCTCCTGACGACTGCTCTGCAGAGACGCTAGCTCCTGACGACTGCTCTGCAGAGACGCTAGCTCCTGACGACTGCTCTGCAGAGACGCTAGCTCCTGACGACTGCTCTGCAGAGACGCTAGCTCCTGACGACTGCTCTGCAGAGACGCTAGCTCCTGACGACTGCTCTGCAGAGACGCTAGCTCCTGACGACTGCTCTGCAGAGACGCTAGCTCCTGACGACTGCTCTGCAGAGACGCTAGCTCCTGACGACTGCTCTGCAGAGACGCTAGCTCCTGACGACTGCTCTGCAGAGACGCTAGCTCCTGACGACTGCTCTGCAGAGACGCTAGCTCCTGACGACTGCTCTGCAGAGACGCTAGCTCCTGACGACTGCTCTGCAGAGACGCTAGCTCCTGACGACTGCTCTGCAGAGACGCTAGCTCCTGACGATGCTCTGCAGACGACTGCTCTGAGACTGCTCTGCAGAGACGCTAGCTCCTGACGACTGCTCTGCAGAGACGCTAGCTCCTGACGACTGCTCTGCAGAGACGCTAGCTCCTGACGACTGCTCTGCAGAGACGCTAGCTCCTGACGACTGCTCAGAGACGCTAGCTCCTGACGACTGCAGAGACGCTAGCTCCTGACGACTGCTAGCTCTGACACTGCAGAGACGCTAGCTCCTGACCACTGCTCTGCAGAGAGCGCTAGCTCCTGACGACTGCTCTACAGAGACACTAGCTCCTGACGACTGCTCTACAGAGACACAAGCTCCTGACGACTGCTCTACAGAGACACAAGCTCCTGACGACGGCTCTACAGAGACACTAGCTCCTGACGACGGCTCTGCAGAGACACTAGCTCCTGACGACGGCTCTGCAGAGACACTAGCTCCTGACGACGGCTCTGCAGAGACACTAGCTCCTGACGACTGCTCTACAGAGACACTGGCTCCCGACGACGGCTCTGCAGAGACACTGGCTCCTGACGACGGCTCTACAGAGACACTAGCTCCTGACGACGGCTCTACAGAGACACTAGCTCCTGACGACGGCTCTACAGAGACACTAGCTCCCGACGACGGCTCTGCAGAGACACTAGCTCCTGACGACGGCTCTGCAGAGACACTAGCTCCTGACGACGGCTCTGCAGAGACACTAGCTCCTGACGACGGCTCTGCAGAGACACAAGCTCCTGACGACGGCTCTGCAGAGACACTGGCTCCTGACGACTGCTCTGCAGAGACACTAGCTCCTGACGACGGCTCTGCAGAGACACAAGCTCCTGACGACGGCTCTACAGAGACACTGGCTCCTGACGACTGCTCTGCAGAGACACTGGCTCCTGACAACTGCTCTGCAAAGACACTAGCTCCTGACGACGGCTCTGCAGAAACACTAGCTCCTGACCACAGCTCTACAGAGACACTAGCTCCTCATGACAGACGGCTCTTACATTGGTGATGTCGATAAAGGCCGTTCTCTTCTTGGGGGCTCCAGTAGGGGGCGATGAAGTCCTCTTGACCTGCGCTGCATCCTCCTGAAATAAAAACTGTAAATATGAACTCTGACAGATTTAAAGCTGGGGTATGCAACTTTTAAACCACAACAATAGAAATCCATCATGAAATCCATTTTACTGCGTCCTAGCTCTAAAACAGTTTGCTTCATCTGTATGTATTTGACATATTTTACGGGAGGGAAGCACTCAAGTCAGAACCAGAACCGGTCAGTGATACAGTAGCAGAAGGAGGAGGACAGAACCAGGACCCCAACTCCTGCAGCACAGTTGAAGGTTGATGAGAAGCAAAGGACTCTTGTGAACTGAACTTATTAAGCAACATTTCCAGACTATACGCCGCTATGCTTTTCCTAGTATTTCCAACCCCACAGCTTTTAGCGAGATGAGAGTAATACTTTATTGACCTCACAATTGAGAAATTCAAGATGCGGAGCCCTAATATGTGTATTTATATTGTGGTAGAGTTGTCGGAGCAGACTTTATGGACTTATTTTTATCTTAGTAGGGCTGGGCGATATAAAAGGTATAAGCGGTATGTGATACAAATTTGGCCAACGGTAGAGATTTGTGTTAAACCAGCATATTGCGATAGGGCATTAGCTGTAGGGCATGGAAGGTGAACATTAAACCAAGAGCTAAGAATAATGTCATCAAATTGCTGGGTTGCACGTGACGGAAGTGCTCCGAGGGACAGGACGTACATTTCCCCACTAAGAGCAAAGTAAACATTCACTGATTCAGAGTTAAAAATGCTCTTTTTCTGTGGCATGTACAGTTGTGGCAACTGCTCATATCAAGTGGGGAACTTGATATGAGCAGAGAAATATTTCTCTAACCGGTGTCAATTTTTAGGAAAATGCCCAATAAGGAACGGGAGAAATGCGCTAGCATTAGCTTGCGTAGCATCTGCAGCCACAGACACAGTCCGCAGTCTTTACTTTGCTTACTTTCATAGATATAATGCAGTATTTTTGTGTGGTATACGGTTGTAGTAACCGAGGCAACAGAAAGAACTGTTAAATACATTTTCTAATTGCAGCCCCCACTGTTAGCTTAACGCTAAGAAGTTAAGCTAATAGAGTGTTATTTGTAGCTCAACAAATCACCGAAATGACAAATGTTCACATTTCTCGCTTCAAATGTTGTCTAAAGTAACATTTGTGCTATATTTATTGTGTTATTGATCAGAACTATCATCTCAGACGTGTTTCTGCTGATCCCAGAGCGACTACTGTTGTCACTATAACAGCCTTAATCGTTCTCATTTCTCAATACTGCTTGGAAGTTAAAGTTTTATAATGTTCTGTATAATTGCAGTTTTGCACAATACATTTAAATAAGTAACAATCTTGACTATTTCATGCAAGAACCTGTTAGACCTACAATGAAATTCACACACCAAATTATACCGCAATATATACCGTCTACCGTCTGTGTCCCAAATTATACATGAACTATATATGAACTTTAGGCCATATCGCCCACCCCCATTATCAAGTTTTGGTACCTACAGGACACTTATTTATAATACACTGGGGAATGAGTACTGGAATGTAACGGTTTAGCTGTTAAAACACCAATAAATCATGTGTCCAGATAAAAAGTCTCTCCTACATTACAACATGAAAACATGCGGCTTATATTCAAGTGTGGCCTAAATGTGGACAGCATTGATTTTCTTTCCAAATGCAGGTGGTGCGGCTTGTACACAGGTGCTCCTCATAGCCCAGAATGAATGTATTTAACATCCCTATTTTAAACCCAGTCCCAGAGAACGTTGGTGAGTGTCTGAGCTCGTGTTTTCCTTGTGCTGCGCCGATGCGGTTCTTATTAGTACAAAAACACCATTACATTTACTCAAAGGACTCGATTGAAATAACATACAACAAACTAACTAAAAAAAAACATTGATTTTATTTTTTTTTATTTTTTTGGGACACTCAGCCATTTCACTTTATACACTGTTGGATAGATGTTTAGACAGAACAGTGACGGAGGAGAGGACCACCTGCACTCAGCCAATCAGCTCTCAGTCCAAACACTAGACAACGCAGTTACCTGGTAGTGGTCAGTTCTGAGTTTGGGCAGTCTGGTCGCTGCAGACGCCGCGGGCTTCTTTCCTCGGGTAAACGGCATCTCTGTTTATGCAACGACCTGTGAAACAACAAACACTGATGTAAACATGAAAACAAACCCATCTCAGAACAGTCTGTTGCCATTTCCGCCACAGATGAAAATGAGGGTCTAAATGAGTCAGGGCTGGACAAGGAAGGAAAAAAAAACATCCAAATTCAGCTTGAATCTTTTTTATAGGCCATCTTTTAGCCACTATGATGGGTCAATTATTTGCAAGGCTAGCACTTTAATGATCGTGCACTGAAATGGTTTTTGTTGACCGATTTGAAAATTCGGTTCGGGGCGACAGTAGCTCAGTTGGTAGAGCATTGGCCTTAAGGCCTGAAGGTCGTGGGTCAAGGCTATGCTCACACTCAGAGAGCAGCCGTCCTCCTGTGGACTCACCACCTGCAGAGGGTCAGTGAGGGGCTGGTGCTATGAGACTTGGGTGGCATCTCTGACTGCCACCCCCCTGACCCAGAAACGGATTAAAGGGTAGAAAATGGATGGATGGATTTGAAAATTCTCTCCTGCCCTAAACCTTGTTCTATTCCTGTACTTACTGTTGCACACTGGAGACTTTCACACATGTATGCCAATGTGGTTTATCCTCGTTAAATCGTTAAAGCCGTTAAAGCTGGAGTATGCAACTTCCGCACCTCAACTATCTGACTATAATCAAATCCATGTCCCTAGTTCCTGGCTCATATTTTTAGATCAGCTTTTTCAGACAAAAAGTGACAAATAGTGGACCAGCCTCACTCAGACAATCAGGTCTCAGCCCATAGAGGCAAATAGTGAAATTACACAAACAATTTTTCTCATCCGATGGAGACTGAGTGGAGAAGTCTTCTGATGGACAAACTACGTTATTTATGAACCCGAAAAAGTGACGTACCCCGCTTTAAACCTGAACTAGCACAGAGAGCGGCTTTAATAGTTATTAGCTGAACATGACTGGTGTAATCCTTATTTAACCATCAGCTTGTAAATCTGTGTTTCACTTATGGAAATGTATACATTCTTTTGAAGCAGAACGGGGCAAATTGGCCCAAGCTTACCAACATCACAAGCAACTTATGCAGGACTTTTAAACATGTATGCAACTGTTTAAAGCTGCATAGGTCATGCTCGTTTGTATTGTATACATGTGCTAAAAACAGGGTTTATCTCATTAAAATCCTTAGGTCATGTTGGGCAGCGAAATGCAAAAATTACTTTGCATGGAGTAAAAACATGACCATACCCACGGCTGGCAAAGTCCTGCTTTGGACCTTGTCCTGCTGTAGTCCTGCATGAGTTCAACTGCTTTAGACCTGCTCTAGTCCTGCTCTAGTAGAACTGCTTTAGACCTGCTTTAGTCCTGCTCTAGACCTGCTCTAGACCTGCTCTAGACCTGCTCTAGACCTGCTCTAGACCTGCTCTAGACCTGCTTTAGACCTGCTTTAGACCTGCTTTAGACCTGCTTTAGACCTGCTTTAGTCCTGCTTCAGACCCACATTTAACTATCATTACACTTTAGCGTTTTGTTTCTTGAGTTATCGCGGTAATGTGTCTTTAAAGCAGCAGATTCTGGACAAACCTTCTCGAATCCTTAGAAATCCTTTGTGTTCGTGGTTCTCCGCAGTTTAACCTTCAGCCTGAGCAGTGGAAACGCTTTGGGAAGTCTGTCTCTGCAGCGGTGGTAAGGGCTCAAACCGACGCCGTGTTTTCGCATTTGAATCCGTGACACGTGACTCTGGACCAATCAGGGACGAGAGAGGACGCGAGCGCGAGGGGTGCGTTCGGTTTGTCTCACCAGCGCGGCCCGTTCACGTCACGCAAAAGCAATAACGACCAACGCGCTATTTAAAACATGTTCTTATTAATTCCTTTCTGTTTGTGAAAATCCGAGAAATGTTGCTTTTTTTCTGTTCTGTTCTTTTCTCCGGTTACATCTCTGCCCCCTCCCCAAATGTGTTTATTGTATTACATCTATGAGAGTGGCCTTTTTACCACACATGCACTATACACGAGCGCGCACACACAGGGGCGCAAGTCCATTTTCTGGGGGGTCATGCAAACTGCAACCCCCATAAAATCATAAAAGACTTTAATTTGAGAATTCCCTTAGTTTACAGCCAGTACACTCAGGTAAAAAATACAAAAACAAAACATCTTGGTCTACCAAACATAAATGTGTAACTCGTTTTTACAGTGTTTAAAGTTGATGGTTGATACATGTTCTTTCTGGAGCTCTCTGTTCTTTTCTTCATCTCCGTTCTCCTACCTGAATGGCAAGAAAACTGTGTTGAGGAGGCTCACAATACAGCAATCAAACCAATTATTAAAATGACATTTTATGAAATGCTTTCCTTGTTCTACAGGTCTAAATTTATCATGATGTTAACCCCAAAACATCACTAGAAATAATTAGGCTATTAAGAATTCTGAAGTGAGTGGCTGGTCCCAAATCCTAACAAAGAAAACACATATGGGCCTAAATTGTTTCCCATAGCTTCAAAGTAAAAACAAAAGTAGGCCTATGTATAGTGTGGCCTGTGCAGTTGCAGCATTAGGAGAATGTTTTACTAGTTAAAGCAAATCTGAATATTGGCTCTGGGCTGGCCAAATAAACACACACATTAGGATACTTACCCACTGCTCTTTGAAACATTTTCTCTCTTAAATTTATGCTTTTGTTTTTGTGCCCTCGAGAGCTTTTTTGTGTGTTTCTCCATCACACGACAGGTAAATAATGATTTTGTTGTTGTTGCACAATGGCGGTCTGTCAAAGCAGGGGACGCTGTTGACTCTATGGGTGCGCCGCTGTCAGGTGCTGCTGAACCAACCAAGAGGGTGTTATGGGAAGCTCTCCATTGCGTTCTGACAAGCTTATGTTCATTATTTATTTATTGCCTTCTGGTGTTTTGGTGCCCCCTGTGTCCTTCGGCCCAATATAAGGCAGTGCATATAAGAAAAGACAAACTTTATTGATCTCACACTGGGGACATTTACATGTCACATTTGGCATAGATAGTATCACTCAGGTTGTGTAAAAAAGAGGTTTAACATTTTAAAGGTTTAAAATATAGTCTATAGCACACACACACACACACACACACACACACACACACACTTGGCTCTGAAGACTCCACTGCCCCCTGTCTGTCCCTCTGCACACTGCACTGCTCTGTGGTGGAGGTGTCACTGTGGTGTTGATCTGAAGCAGGTGAGAGAGACAGAGAGAGAGAGAGAAAGAGAGATGTCAGAGAAGAACTCTGTCTCACATTTTCATGAAGACTGATCCAGATTTTTTCAGCACAAATCTGAAATGCTGCCTCCCCATGTTTAGTCCTGACTCTGGGTACCAGCAGGAGGCCAGTCCCTGTGCTCCTCAGGATTCCTCCAGATGAGCAGGAGGAAGCGTGTGTGGAGATGGATGAATGGAAAGTAAAAGTAAGTTGGTAATATGTTAGTAAAGAGTTAGAGTTAGAGTTAGGGCTAGGATTAGGATTAGGATTAGGGTTAGCGTTAGGATACGTTAAATAGCACTTAATTAGCTGTTAATTAGTGAGGGATAATCAAAAGTGTTACCAAAGATTGAATACGCAGACATCAACATGTTTAATATGATTTTTTTATTTGGTTTTTGTATGCATTGGGGGTTTGGGGGTAAATAGACCATTTGCACATGACAAACACTTAACTGCCGGTCATTGTGACTTCCACTTCTATTTAAAGTCTTTTCCGGTTTCTTCATAACGTCACAGGGTCAACAAAAAAAAGGTACAAATCCTCTCAAAACTAAACTAATTTTGTAGCCATTGTTAGCATAGTTATCCTGTTGCATTTATAAAGTGCCGGTCATGACACCAAAGTGCTACTGCTGCCTCAAACTGTTGCATTCAATCGGAGTTAAAACTTCCTATTTCATGCAACACGTCACACTAATCATTCATTCCATACACGGTGGTGGTGAGTTACTAGCCACAGCTGCCCTGGGGCAATCTGCTGCAAGTGAGGCTGCCATAGAGGCCCCTCCTTCCACCACCTGCCATTCACACAACATTCAGACAAGGCAAAGTGGGTGAACTGTAATGCCGAAGGACACAGCGACAAGTTCAGCAGTTGGTTGGAATACCAGGTCTCCCATCGCAGCGGTGCCCAGGCCTCACACGAAGAGACCAGGCCTGGGCACCGTTGTGATGGGAGACCTGGTATTCCAACCAATTGCTGTAAACCTGTTAGCCTTTAGCATCACGACAGGAAAATGCACTGAATCTACTAGTTTTGGAAAATTTAGATTTTGAGAGACCCGAGAGAAAGAGAGACCAAAAAGATCTTGTTAGCTGGTCTGGTCTCTTTACCTCCACCAGAGGAGAGTACAGAGAGACCAGAGAGAGAGAGAGACTACAGAGAGACCAGAGAGAGAGAGAGACTACAGAGAGACCAGAGAGAGAGAGAGAGACTACAGTTAGACCAGAGAGAGAGAGAGAGACTACAGTTAGACCAGAGAGAGAGACTACAGAGAGACCAGAGACAGAGAGAGAGACTACAGTGAGACCAGAGAGAGAGAGAGAGAGACTACAGTTAGACCAGAGAGAGAGAGAGACTACAGAGAGACAAGAGAGAGAGACCAGCGAGAGAGCAGAAGGGTCAACTAAATTTCGTTGTTCACCCTGTGATATTGAGATCTTTTGTTTATGTTTTTGGAAGTGAGAAAACCTTTAGTCTATGTTGTCATTGTGGTTTAGGTCTATAAGGATTTAGGGAATGGGAGTTGGTAATGGGAAAAGGGAGCGAGGGGATTTAGTTTGGGGTTTTTGGTGTCTTAATAACACCTGGACACGCCTTGGTCCTGTTCAGAGGCGTGTACATTTTGCAGCTGCTGTATCTTAGCCTCGAGCTGCTCTATCTTTATCGCTGCATCTGTCTGTGCCGCCTGGATTTGACGGCTGAATAAGTCGCTGAGGTCTTGGATGTGCTTCTTGGCTGACTCCTCCAGGTCACTTATCGGCCCACTTGAGTTCACCTGTTTT